AGGAAAGCTGTGATTGATCGTGATGCGCTGAAGAGTGGAACTGAAACCGGCGCTGCTATAGATGTTACTGCCCGAGGAAAAAATGGCGAAAAGGCAGCCATAAATACTGCTGAAAAATGCCAAGGCTGCAGGAGTAGGTCATACAACTGCCAGCAGATGCCTTTTGCCCACGGGGCAGCCAGGCGGCTTATTGAACGTGTGCGAAAACGGCACCTCTACCTGACAACTGGAGGAATGCTCTTCTTGTTTCCTGCGCGAAGGGAAAGCTAGCCAGAGCCAGGCAGCGACTCCGGGAGGATTAATTTGTTAAGCGTGCCTGGAAAGGTGTCAGATTGAACGGGTGTGAGAGGTGACGTGAGAAGTGCGAATCTGCTACATTTCCAAGTGCAATGCGGCTTTATGCCAGGCAGGGAGGGAGCGCGCAGGCTGGGTTTTTGCTCTTCTGCAGGTCATTGAGAAGGGTAGGAATGTGAACCTCTTTTGTACATCTGTTGGCTTAAAAAAAGGGGAGGGTGGAGTGAACAGGCTTGAATTCTGGCACGTCTTGCCCAAGGGCAGAGTTGAAGATTAGTTGCGGAATGCCGTGAGCGGTATACGGTGGAAGTAAAGCGCGTGTGCAAAAAGGGGAACGCTTAGAGGTAGTTTCAGTGCGGAGCAGGGAGAAAGGCAAGTGTGTGTGATGTCCTGTTGGCTGTTAAATTTGGAGATAAATCCCTAAGGAGCGCTTGTGGTGAAGGTAGAGGGGGGTGGCAGGAACGTGAACGTCCATGTGCGTTTATATGCAGATGCTGCTGTTTCCATGAAGCAGGGAGGGGTACGGGCCTGAACACTGATGTCTCCGAGGCCAAGGCAGTTGAGTTTGGACGGGGAAAATGGACCGGACGACTGTAGCTGATACATAAATGGCAAGAAGCTAGAACCAGCAGGTGAATTTTGTGCCTTAGTAAGGATGGGGGGGAGGGATGGAGAAATTTTAAGATGCGCAAAGACGGGTAGGGAGCGGAGGGTAGCGTGTGGTCTGTTGCAAAGATGCTTGTTGAAAAGGGCAAAAACCCTTCAGCAGACTTCGGGATGCAGACTCGATTCAGCACCCGCCCTCCACCCCCCGACAACTAGCTTTCCGAGCAAACAGGTATCCCACACGGAAAATTTGAATAAAATAGCTAAATAAATCTTTAATATTTTCTAATTGCAAATGTACATAAATTGCACGGTCACATCATGGTTCTTTTCTTTTGACACGAACTACTTTCTCTGTACATTATTACATAGCTTAGGGAACAAAACTGAAGGCTCAGCAAGTCCTGCCGCTTGGCTTCATATTAATATTATTATTAATATTATTATTACTATTAAACATACTTACAAAAATCATTTTATTATTATTTTTTTGCTTGGTTTCTTTTACAAGAGGATATAAAACATTGAGAATGTTTTAACCGGGAGCAACGGTTGGCCTACAAGTACACAGGACGCTTGTGTGCGCGAGAGAGGTATATTTTAAGACACAGTGCTGTCGAGGAGGAAAAATGGAGCAAACCCCCCCCGCCGATCAGGGCACGGAGATCTTTTTTCACATATTGGATGTCGACCACAGATCGAACCCAGGGAGTCCTGTTCTGCTGAAAATCATTGTCCTTCCCAAATAGACAGCTCCCACCCACCCACCCACCCACCCTGCGGATTTTTTGCTTTTTTTGGTAAAGCTCTCTGGCCTTTTGACTTCCATCCTCTGGATAAGGGCCACCCCCGGGCCAGAGGCTCCGGAAGGCCCCTCAAGACACCAGTGGCAAAGCCACGCAGACCCTCGTGGCATTATGTGGCGGAGCGGGCCGTGGCCAAGTTGTCCTGGACGAGGGCCAGATGGGAAAAGCCACCACGAGCTGCTTTTCCTTCGCCTGCCAAGGTGGGTGGACTCGCCTGCCCTGGGAAGAGCCGGGCTGCTTTGCTCTGGGGCCCGGTTCGCGCTCGCTCGCTAGCCAGACCCACATCAAGGAGCCGGGTGGGCCCCGGCTGCTTGCCCCCCGGATACCTCCACAGATTTCAACCCCAACAAGGGTTCCAGTGGAAGGAGATCCTCTCCCTGCACGAACAGCTTGAAACAAAGACACCCACCGCGGAGCTGTGCCCTTGGTTAGATCAGACTAAGATCGCCCTGGCTGAGGGCTCCAGGAAGCCGTGGCATTTTAGCTTCTGTTCTTGGGCGGACGGCGCCTGCTTCGGCTCCTGAACTGGGGGGGCTTGCACCGGGGGGGGGTCTTTCCAAGGTGCATTCAGCTCCACAGCTGATTTTTACCCATTCGTCTCAGTCCAGAAAACAAGACATGCACTGGGGTGAACTCGGGGCCACAGGTTTCTTTGCATTATGGGGTACAGTTGTGGGGCAGTTCCCCTGCGGGGTCTGCTCTTCGGCCATTTGGACCTCAGCTGGCCTGGCCTGAGTGTAAAATTTGGAGCAGAGCCTTTGGGCTACCGAAGCTTTTTTTCAGAATTTAGGAGGCCAAGAAAGCAAGCTTCAGAAAAAGAGAAAGAAAGAAAGGAAGGAAGGAAGGAACCGGACTCATCCAACTGGATGCCTCAATATTTGGAGTTTTAAAGCGTGCATTTTGACAGAATCAGCCCTGTTTCTCCCCGTATGGCAGTAACACTATGTTGAGCTACCCTGACCAAAGCGGTTGCTTTTGTACTGTCAGGCAAAAAATGGCACATTATGTTGGATACTTGAAAACATCTTTCTCCATTTTACAAAGAGAACCTGTACAACTTCTAGTCGTAAAGATCAGTGTATTATAATTATTAGTCGTAAAAAAATCTTACAGATTGTAACAAGTTCATATGGCAGAAAGTTCAACAACAGAGAAAGTGGGTCGCGCCCCAGAGAGCAAAACGGCGGCCGCCCCCCCATCCCGCACGGTTGGCGCCAACGACGTGGAGAACGAACCTTGGGCGCGCCCTCCCACCCGCGCAGGCTTGAGGGGTGACGAAATGAGGCACCAGAGAAAGGGTCAAGGCCACCTTGCCAAGCCCCAAGAGGCTGGGCAGAACCCGGCTGGCACAGCCGCTCCGCCCCTCCCCGTAGGCCTCCGGTTGGCGAGGCGAGAGTCGGGCTCCCTGGACTGGGGGTTCCAGCATCTGCGAAATGGCATTTGGCAAAAGACCAGCGTCCCCAGCACCATGGAAGGTCTCCACCAGGACTGGGGACAGGCGGGCCCCCTTTCCCGCTGGAACTTCTGCCGACTTTAGTTATGGCTGGGTGCGAAGGGTTCCGAGTCAATCCCCCGTGCAGGCGGAGGGCTGGGAAAGGCAGAGGACTCCCTGCCAGGTCAACAGCTGGGGCCCCGGGAGGGCTGCTCCCCAATGCCCCGTGGCCCCTTGGGGTGGCTGGCAAGGGAAAGTGCCCGGTCACCTGCCATTTTGCCCTGGGTATCTAACACCCGCCCTGGGCGCCACGCCCTAGGAAATTGCTCTGTTTGGCACGCACCCTCCTTGGCGAGGGGCACTTGGGTACCTGCCCTACTGATGTCTGGGGGAGGGGGGCAAATACTAGGAGGGACCCACCGGTGCCACTGGTCTCTACGCCATTGGTTCTTTGCCCGAGAGAGAGAGGGAGGTGCAGAAAAGCAGCGCGATTGTCTGACACGGGGCTTCAGTGGTGGCGGTGGGGTGCTGTCAGTATTAAACGCGAAGCCCGTCTCCTGGGGTCTTCCTGGGGAAGGGGGCCGGGGCAGAGTTTGCACGCAGCCGTCAACTGGGGCCAGGAGCCGGACGGCAGAGGATGAACACGTGGGAGCCACGGGGGTTCAACGTCCGGCTTCTTTCGCCCTCCTCATGGCTACTGCGTCCCCTTTGGAGGCGGGCCGGGCCGCTTGCCTACGCACCTCGCGCGCCCCCCGTCGGATTTTGCAAAGACCCGCCACGGACCCGCCGGCTGGTCGGAGCCCGGCAGGTGCAGAGTGGGGCGGCGCGGCAACTCCAGGCCAGGGCTGCCCCGCCATTCAGATTAGGGGAGGGGGCGGCACTTTTCGGAGGCTGCGTCCTTGCTTTTGTGAGGCCTTCGCGGTGGTTAGCTTCCCACGCCGCACCCACACCCCATTAAAAGAGGATAGCATTCCAGAAAGTGGGCTGCTTTGGGCTTTGGGCTGTTTTATTCCTAACGCAGACTGTGAAAGAAAAGAGAAAGGGAGTTACCGAACTTCATATGCAAGGGAAGACTGTCCGTTATTTTTACTCTCCCTCGCCTCATCCTCGTCTGCCTCCCCGGCAGCGAGCGCGCAGGGTCCCGCCACACGCACTGCTGGAGGGACGGCGCTGGTGGTTTGGCCTCCGTGGTGCCCCTCCCTGGCCCGTTGGGTCCCACCTGCCTGGGCCACGAGGGGCCCCCCAAGCGGAGACCCCTTCTTCAGCAGCTTTCGAGAAGAGCTGCCCTTCCAAGCTGGGGTTCCCCCGTCTGTGGGATGGCAGCCCCTGGGGTGCTAGGAAGCTGGGGGGGGAGCTGTCACCCAACACCCCCGAAGGCCCCAGGTTGGAAAAGTCTGGCAAAGAGGCTGGTTTCTTCCTCCGCCCCCCTGCCCGTCCAGCCCCCCGGGGGATTTGGCTGCACTGGCATCCCCCACCCGCTATTGCACTGTGCCCTGTGCGAATTTGTTCAGTGTGCTTGAGAGTCTAATTTAGTAACAGGAAGCTTCTTTTCCAT